TGCGACTCTGCTGGAAATCTGCTCTGGAAGTGTCAGAGAAGATGGAAAAGCGTCCCCATCTGCATAAGTACCAGCAGCCCTGCACGCTGGCAAGCAGTGCGGCTTGGCTGGATGACAGGGCACCTGAAGGCAGAGTGGTGTCAGGTAGCTCCGGGGCATTCACAATAGACTGGGAACTCAGTGTTTTGGGAGAGCACAACAGAAGTGGGGTCTGCTGTCCCATCAGGGATCAGTGGTGCAAATCAGCAGTGGCAATAGAGATACTCCACAGTCCCAAAAATGCTATCCTTGTAACTCAGTTATTCGCCCTGGAATTCTCTTTATATTCCTTCATTCAAGCTGCAGACAAATACATTATGTTTTATTTCAAATCCAATCTTTAGGACAGACTGCCCAGACTGTTTTTTGAAAGTGATTAGATATAACCATTAACAATAACCCATCTGCGTCAGTTGCTGTGGAAACAACATAGGCGTGCGTACATTCGCAAACTGGTGGTGCATTGGACACAAAACAGAAAGCTGCAGGCCGGGTGAATAATGGAGATGTATCCTCACACTCTTCACACCATAGCAATATCTTGTCTCAGTGCAGAAGTCCTCCATCACACCGCACAACATTAGTGGCAGAGGTGGTTGATATATGTTTTTTTGCAGCAGTTGCAGCCAGCTAACAGGGCCGTTAGCCCTCTGGACGTGACGTCACTGTTACGTGTCAGATTGCAGGTGATATAAAGGACAGTTTGAAAGCCAATTTTTAAATCAGATATCAACCCCCCCATAAGCTGCCAGTCTCAACATAACCTAAGATGCACTCTTAAATTCAGGCCAGCAGTTTTTCGCTTTCCTTAAGCCCCATGCTCATATTTCACTCACACAGACCATCACTTATCTGCATCAGACTATTTCACTCCTTATCCATTTAACCATAAGTAGCTGTTGTTTCAAGTTAAGTTTTGCCAAATTGGGCTGCGGTATCCTATTGTTTTAATATATGTATAATATATAGTTATCATCAGAGGCATGTCAGAAGTTGTAAAATTCACCAATAACTACAGTGAGGTCTTTATAATTCACCCAACTAGATGTGTACTGTATGTGTATTTAGACTGTATGTGTGTGTGCCTGTATTGTATCTTGGCTTGTACAAATCAATTGGAGGATGATAGAGAGAAAGTGTCGCGTCAAAAGTCCTTTCTTAAGGACATTTTTATATTGTGTCAATAGCTCTGTTAATAAACAATGAGTATCCTTGACTTACATAACACACCTCAAATACAAGCACATATAAAGACTTGTACTTTTTCTTCTTGCTGTGCCTAAGAGTTTATTTAAAAATTGTGGTGAGATACAGACATTTGTCTCTGGTCCATGAAGAAAATGAAGTTATTATTTTGTCAACTACAGTTCTAAGAAGTGAGTCAAACTTGTATCAAGGGGACGGTGTGCAAACCGCTCATATAAATGCTATCCATTAAGAAGTGGCAGATTTGTTCATTCAAAGTTAGGTAGCCCAGGTACTGATCTGTGTTTTTGAAATAACACTATTATGTACCTCAGGTTCCAGACAGGAAATGCACAGGTTGTCATTCAGTGTAGGTGTACAATACGCTGTATTTTTCCGCCAAATGCATTATGTTCAAGGCAGTAAAGACAAAAACACAATCTCAGCTCTAAGGGGATAGGAATTTTGGTGTAGATAAGAGCAAAATATATGGCATGGAATAGCTTGAGGCAACTAGGTGGACAGCAGCCATTCTCATTTTTTTCTATTTTTATTAACTTGATATAACATGACAGCCAGTTTGCCATTGTATAAAAGTGAAATTGGTCCAAGTTATATGACAAAACTATGCTACATAATTGTCTTCTGGCTTTTTGGCGTATCAGTATCAATAGTCTGTGTCAATAGAAATATTCAGCTGTAATAATGTGTGGCTTGAAATTATTGTGAAGCAGTAGGTTGTATAATACTATTTCTGGCTGTTTTACTGCGTTAAAATGTGTCTTGGTCCCCTGGAAAGACAGAATCCTGCTGTATTTTTCCGTCTGTGTTGGGATTGTAATATTAGGTGCGTAAATGAGGCCATTTCATCCCAATCTAAATGGGGTTATGAATTCAGATGTCATCATAAATGTCCCCTTTTTCATTCTCAGCCCCATAGCTTCTTACGCCTTCCACAATGCCCAAACAATCCCACTCTCCCGCCTCCAGTCTCCCAGAATCTAATCCTTCTGCTTGTCCCCTCCAGCCAAAGCGCCGTCCGTGTCTGCCTGACCAACTCCCCACTCCTGCTCAGCCTCCCCTTCCATCCTTCCGTCTTGCCGCATCCCTGCAGCCCCCAAGGCCTGGCAAAGGATTTGTGCTCTGACTAAAAGGAGAATCTATTTCCCATCTCTGCAGCCTTAGCTAGTTATCATACCCAGGAAACATGCTGACTCTCTGGAGTGGTGCCTTGAGGAGAAGTTTAAGCAAGAATCCATATTTAAACAACTAAATGCCCCCTCACATTTAAATAGCTGTGGTGCCAGACCTTAACCTCCAATCATATATTTGGAATGTGTCATTCAAATTTATTATTTGCCTGGTCCAGTCGGGTACTGACACAGAAACAATAGCAGAATAACTCACTATTGTCTAGTTTGATGGAGCAGTACTGAGACTTGCTGTTAAATATGGTCAATTTTCACACTGCGTACTCACAATTTGAATTTAATCAGTAAACCTAATGGTATTTATGTTCTTTGTGAGGAATGTCAAATAGTGTGTTCTCACTTTGTTTTTTTCAGCTCAACACACAGCTTATAAGCACATTTCATACAGTTAAAAATGTTCCTGTGTATAGATGCACCAATCAAAGAGCATGCTTAATAGAAAGAAAACAAATGTGTTTTTTTCCCTCAAAACCTCTTATACCCCCCTTTTCTTCTCATTTGTGCGGCAAGCATACAGATTGCCACAAACAAGGACATAAAAAGCCATCGTTTTGTTATTTTTCAATAATCTTTCATTTGTTTGGAAATTTAGCTTAAGTTGCATTAAATTTTACAGATAACCAAGGGGTCCAAAACAGCTTTTTTACTGTCTACTATGTATGATTTATTGATGTAGTGATGTAGCAGCACGGCTGTGTGAAAAAAACTATGATGTATCCCAGGACTCAAATGATCATTATTTAGATGAAAGACGAAGAGATGCATCTGTGCAGTGAGAAAAATACGGCTGGTTGAGATGATGGGCAGATGAACAGGTTTCTGGAAACATTTTGAAGCCCACTAACAGTATTAAGAACACAGTGTTGATAGCACTTACCTAAGCTCTAAAAGCATCTGGTGTGTATGTACTAAAAGGCTGATGGTTCGAATGATTTCTAGCATGGATTTGTTTGGCAGAAAAGTGGTTGAATGGTAGAAAGCACAGACCCGTGGTATTGATCTGGGCTGACTCGTGCAGCAGAGGCACTGCTGTTCTGCTGCATCAGTGCTTTCCTGACTTTTACGAGAGGTGCTCATGTGTGGGGGTGGAGGAAGGGGAAGGAACGCGGTCGCGTGTGCACTGTAAGGAGTCATCTTTCTGTTGTGGATCAGTGGTAAGTAGCCATTAGTAAACTGATCTTGGGAAGAGGAAATTTAATGGTCTCCTAACTGTATTTACAAGCCATTCAATTTGATAAAGGGTGTGATCGTGAATGATTTATTACATGCCGCTCTGCTGCTCTTCAAGCCATCAAATTCAGGATTTCATCAGTATTTCAGTCATTCATTTACTCTTTCATTCTTTCATCAAATCTCATCAGTATATATCAGCGAAAGCAGGTCTAATGATATACTCTAATGCTGGCAAAATAGTAATTGTCACAAACTATATTTCCAGAGCTCTGTTTTGTTCTTTTTGTTAGACTTATTTAGATCTTCTCGGGATTCCTTTTTAGTTAAACTGCAGAAATATTGTTTAGCTTTCCACTCGGTTAAACATCAAAAGCTGTGGAAAAGGGAAATATTAAAAAACGGAGATAGGAAATATCTCACTGGGGCTACTGATTTACTGTACCAATCACTGTCATCAGAATTAATTTGGCAGTGGCAGATTCAGGAAATGAAACTTTTGTCTCAGTAATAATGTTAATAACAGGAATAATAATGCTTCTCACGTTCTTAAGCTCTATGACACTTAGAATGTTTGTACGAGTGTATAATGCGTCTCCATACATAGGAATGTCTTTACAGTCCACCTCTATCCAATTAAATGTTTTAGATATAATTGTGAATATGACACTTCACATTCATATTTTTGACAGGCCACAAATAACATCAGTTCTTCACATCCTGTACCCTGGATCTACACTTGCTATTTCAGGAATCTTAGATGAGGTGTGCAGAGTTTTACACCACATACAATATTGACATGCAAGGATTCTTTCTGTGAAAAATATGCGTCAGTGTAGAAACATTAATCTGAAGTTCTTGAATATACAGTTCATCCTCTTATTCATTATGCACTGCATACAAAAGGCTCGAAATCAGTCTTTGCATATACACAACAGTGTCATACAGCATATTTAAACACATGCCCCATATTTAGATATTTAAAGGTCGTGGTATGGGATATTTTAATATATGGGGGTTCTTTTGTCTCAATTTATTCAATTTCTGCTGCTGGTAGTTTGCACATTCTAATTATTGAAGTCCGTAACCTCACTGTGTTCATATATCTCTACCTTCTATAATCATCAGAATAATAAGAGTGCAGACTATTTAATATTTAAGAGTGTTTAATATTTATTACTATTTTCTGACTGTTGAAGAGTGAACTTTATAATGCTAGCAAAATTCAGACAGTAGTCTTAAAGACTACTAAAAAAGAGTTTTGAGCTGTAACTGTTACCATACAACCTGCTGGGTGTCTCCATGGAACCATCAAACAAAAAGAAATGTGTAGTTGAAAGTTGTCACAATTTCCTTGTGTTGAAGATATTCATTTGTTGTCTTTCTGTTTTTTAGCATTCCCATCGGCGAGTGACCTTCTCCACTGCCAACCCTGTGCAGGACCTGCAGGATGCCTCTCAGCACAGCTACTATGACAGCGGCTTGGAGGAATCCGAGACTCCCAGCAGTAAGTCATCTTCTGGTCCTCGCATCGGACCCCTGACCCTGCCTGAGGACCACTATGAGAGAACCACTCCAGATGGCAGCATTGGAGAAACCGAGCACCCTGAAAATGGTACGGTGACAATCCCCTCCATTCTGTCTTGTTCTCTATGAATATGTATTTAAATGTAAATTGCTCTAATGGGCTCTTGTGGTGTGTGTGTGTGTGTGTGTGTGTGTGTGTGTGTGTGTGTGTGTTGTTGGAAATGGAGACATTTGTGGGAGACTTGTTTGGACTCTTCAGCCATTTAAGAGTGGAAATGTTGTGGCACCTGTGACGCTGACTTGCTGTTTTTGTCGATGACTGTGTGAAATGTTATGGGTTTTCATGCAGATCTGTGCTTGTGTGGGGTGTGTGGTATCAGACTGGCGTTAACAGTGTCTCCATCCTCCTCATCAGCAGCTTCTCTGTCAGACATCCTTAATGACCTGCTCTCACAAGTGTGCTAATTAAAAAGCCCAACTAATGGCACATTTGCCCTCTAAATAAATCTGAACCATGACATCTGTGCAAAGAACGCTGTGTTTACTCTAAGCATTTCCTTGCCGCTAGCTGGACCCATGTTACACTGCAGCTTAGGTGTGCAGGAGCCATAATTTCTAGGCACAGTAATCAATCCACAGGCTGAACACTGATGGTCTCAGCATAGGTCTATATTAAAAAACGGAAATCATAGCCAAAGCTGTAACTGCTATTTTGTGAACTGTGTATCATAATAGCAATTTTGCTGCATTAAGCTGCCAGATATAATCCATTACCTGTCTTGTAACACACTATGAAGAGTGATTCACATGGTGCATTTCCAGTCATTATAGTATTTTGCATTGCAGGATTAGACACTCTTACATGGTGACAGTTCGCTGCTCACCTAGAGCGTCTTGCCCTTCTCTTGATATTTGTATATCATTAGTTGTATTAATTTATGACTTTATCTCAAAACCACGTGTGGTACTGCATTTTGTGCACAGGGAATGGCTTTAAGTAATAAGGCTTCTTACTGGCCCATACAAAATATGGCACAGATCAGCAAGGACTTGATAGAGTTTTTCATCAGCATTGACAGTTACTTTGCCACAGGGTCAGTGAAAAAGACACAGATGTACCTTTTGTCAGTGGAACTGTACATCCTGATTAAGGAGAGATTTCTGGCTGTTTTAAATGAGGGAGGAAAAAAAACAATTTCAGATCAAAGGCAAAAATGTGTCATTTCCCAAAACAGCAAATGACAAAAGTATATATTATTAGTATAGTATCTTGCGTTGTTAGGCACTGCCTCTTTACTAGACAATTGTGATAGATCTCATTAGCTGGCTATTGCAAATGTTTATTCGTTATTTGTTTATGTCAATTAGTTACACCATAATTCAAGGAAAGGAGGGGGTGGGTGGTGGTGTGCAGAAGGGGATAAGTCCTGCCAATATTGCTCTTCCCTTTGGTCCTATAGAGGTCAGAAATTGCTTAATATTCCATTAAATAGATAGATTTATGTAGTCACCTCATATACATGCAAGCTGTTTATAGCCCAGGAGCCAAGAGTTGACTATTTCCATTTGCTCTTTACACTTAGGATGTGTAATATATGCATTTTCTTTTTCCTTTTTCTATTGTTGTGGCTGTTTATTGTGTTTTTCCCATCTGCAGAAAACAGTTTTTGTCAGACAGGGCGCTCTTTGTTGTCAGCAGTAGGAGAGCAAGATTGTGAGTGGAGATGGAGCAGTTAAAGAATGAAAAGATGGCACAAGATGGTGGAGATGTTAGATTGTGACACGGAGCGGGGACTAAGCGTCTCTTACAAGGAAGCAAAGCCCATAGGATGAGCACATAGGACAGGAAGATGAGTAGATGAACTGCAAACCAAGGATAGACCTAATTAAAATGTGATTCCCCCTTCAGGGTGATAACAAAGAGCCCACATAAAATGAAGATTTAGACAGAAAAATGAAACGAGACAGAGGAATTCCTCCCCAGCTCCACCTGAATAGTGACGTGAAGTCTTTTTTTAAGCACTTGAGTGACAGAGTGACAGGTTGTACCGGTGCAGAGCTTTATTCATTGCAGTAGAGATGACTGACAAGCAAAAAATGGGGAGGTGAGCGTGATGTGTCACTCCATTTAAGCTGGATAAAACACAATATATGAACCCCAGTCTGTCAGCGTTTGCATCACTGGGCCCCGGAAATATCTACATGGATGTGTTTTGTTATACAAGTTGAACTTTGACAGTGGTGAATCTACATTTTAAGAGAGTCTACATTGAATAGTGGTAGTAGCTCATGATGCACTTTAGATTAACTTTTGGCTGTTGGCTGAAATTTTGGTATTACTCAGACCTTTACTACGTTTGACTAGTATTAGGTCAAATTCTGGAGCCTGAGTTTCATGGGCATTCCAGTTTGACTGCATCCCAGCCCATGCAATTGCTTTATTCAAGGCATCCTTATATTAGGGATATTAATGCCAGAGATTGGTTACTGGCATAGAATGTATTAGTTATTTATATCAGTTGGGTGAATTTCATGTTAAATGTTGTTCTATGTTTGATGTCTTTTGACAATTCTTGCAGACTGAAGTAATATGACCAAGGTTTATTGGACTGGGTAGCAAAGAGGAGCAAGTGTGTGTGGTCTGTAACAGTCTCTCTGCTTCACTGAAGTAGAAATTAACATATTCCCTTATGGTGCCTTATTGGTCTTTGGAATTAAGAGTAGATTCAAACTACAGTAATACAATTTCTTGAGTTCTTGCTGCCTGAGCCGCAGCTCCCCCCTCCCACTTTTTTCTAATTCTTGTCTTCAGGCTGTGTTAGAGTGCACTTCATTTCAGTTTCCCCATGTGTATTTTCCACTCTTATGTTCATATGTGCACCTTGCACATTGCTCAGATGTTGGTTAATCTCATCAGAAATGTTTATCTAGTGGTTGCATCAATCAGGTGTGTGTGTGTTTGTGTGTGTGTGTGTGTGTGTGTACACACCTGCATACATGCATGCATGTATTTGTTGCATTGGAGGGTACTGCATCACACCCCAAATCTCTAAATCATTTTAATTACAGTGCTGTTTTACTTTAATAGACTCTCATCGTAATCACTGAGCTATTTAATTCTCTTTAAATTGATTGCTTTAGACAGCATGAAAACTGCTTATCTTGGATGTCTGGTTTCTGTCAAGATGCATGGTTTGTCATCCACAGTGAAATCAAAGGAAGACCAAGGACTGGTCTCTGTCTGTGCCATCTGTCCATCCACCATATCGCAGACCTTGATGATCAAACTTCGATTCAAGGTCAAATCAAAGTGATTTACAGTATTTATTACTGATTGATTCAAAGGGAGAATGCATCACTTTGGTAGTTTGCTATTTACATTAGATGCCCTAAACTTAAGTGTCAAAAACTATGATTTGTATAAAATAATAGTTGCACAAAGTTATCTTTAATTACTTGTTTTAAATTCTGAGTTGACTTGGTTTGATGTTGTTTCGCATAGTTTCCTAATTAATCCCATACATTTTATTTCATAACAAGGTATTTTCAACCCCAGCCATTGAACTTGTGTTTTTGAACCCCAGCACACGCATGGAATCACATAAACATATAACATAAATTGTTGATAGACCTCTTCTCTCTTCTTGAGACACAAGTTTAATCAGCAAACCCGTCATGTCCGATCCAACCTAGACAATAATCACTCTTCCGCGGATCAGTGGTTAGGCATCTTGGCTGTGATATGAGGGCCAGCACCGATAGGACACAGGTGGATTGAAGACAGGTACCAGTGTATACGCACACACACAAACCACAGATGGAGGAATTTTGATGTGGCCAGTTGCCCAGTGTGAGGTCTCCCTGTGTCTTCCTCTGTGCGGACTCACTGCCATATGGGCTATTGAGAAGGGTGAGATAAAATGGAATAAATGGCATTTGCATGATAATGAGGTTCTTTAGTTAGGCTGTCTGATTTTCCTGCCTTAGATCTCTCAGATGATGCATGTAGCGTTGTATATTTTTTCTTTTTGAGTTCCAGTCAGGGATTTTCCCCTGGTTTCAATGCTTGCCATCCCAGTATCATACAGGGTACCACTACTTTAGCCATTACTGCTTTAATTTCATGGGTTTCCTGTGACTATCAGCGTTTGTGTGTACAAAGCATGAGTAAGATTTTAAACAAAGAAAGATGTGGTGGAAGTCATTGTCCAGACAGAGAGGCATGTTGGTCTAATGGGGCTTGCTTGTCCTTTGAGTGCCAGCTTGGGCCCCTGCCTGGGTGCCAGTATAGTGTGCTGATGCAGTGGTGTGGGTTGTCATTGTGCCTTGTCAGAGTCCTTGCCTGTTAGTACTATTGAGTGGAGTGGACCATGCCAGCCTGTACCAGCACAGTGGCCTATGCCAGCACTGTGGGAACTGCCACCATCTGAGAAGAGACAGGTCATGGGACTGGCAGTTTTGTGGAAGCTTCTGTGGAAAACATCCTTACAAGTGGTCCCCTGAGGCACGTTGTCATGAGTAATACGCTTATAATCCCGAGCTCATTCTAGCACATGCATTATGCTCTGCTCACATCAGCCGCGGCTGTTTGTTACTCCCCAATTGTTTGTAATTTGATTTTGGAGCAAATAGGTCACTGGAAGAGCCTAAGTGGAGCAGAATTAAGCTCTCTAACCTGGATCAGGCTTTGACACCATGGACAATGGTTAACTATAGCCCTTTTACAAATTACTTTATGGGACAATGCAGCTGAATCCAAAATGGAGCTGATCATCACTGATGTCAACACATCACAGTTTTGAATGTGTCTAGATTTCCTTTCGCCCAATTTGAATCTGAAAATGTCCTCTCGCTTATGTGATCACTAACAATGAGACCAACACACTTATCCAAAACGCTGGCCGCGCACATTATAGTGTTTGTCAAATGACTGCAGACAGCCCAGACCTTTGAGCGGGGCCATCTTAGAGAAAGGACATGGTAACACAGCTCAGACCATTAACTGTAGCCAAGTATGGAATTGGCTTATTTTCATGAGTGAACTGACATATTATTGTGTGGCAGAGATTGCAGCCACATGTGAAATCT